ACTAAATAAGGAATAGAATGACACAACCAAAAAATAATTATTATAATAACAGCTAATCTAGCTGTTGATAATTTACTTAATTTTCTATATTTATCTTGACGGCAACTAACAAGAAATCGATCAATACTTGCTAAACAAATACATGATAAAGATATTGAAGTACTTGCTTGTGTAAAAGCAAGACGAGTTTTACACCAAATAAGATCTTTTGTTGACCAATCAAGATTAAATCCAATACTTAATATTCGTGTTAATAAACCATAAAATAATACAATACAATTAATAAATGATGAAATCAAAAATATAAATGCACAAGGATTGTGACGAGTTCGCCAAAGAAAACGAACATTAAGTAAATTTCCTAATATTCCACCAATAAATATAGGAAAACCAGCATATATTGTTATTGAACGAATTAACACATTATTTGAAGACATTTTTATATATTGTGTTTATTATTCTACAAAATATAAATAAATAAAAATGAATGTTCTTTTTAAAATCTTTATCTTAGTTTGTAGTTTTTCAATCAATAAAAAATAGTCTAACTACGTTAGCTACCTATTTTCACTATCTCTTTCTTTGCTGTCTTGCTACTTGAAGAAAAAAAACTTGACACAACTGAAAAATGACTAACATAATTATAGCTTCATTGTGAAAAGAAGAGGTTTTATTAATTTTTACAGTTCATTGAGTCCACACTTGTATCGTTTATTATAATACTAACTTCTTTTTAAATTTTCCACTCTATTCGAAGTTTAGTTGGAAGTATTTTACTTCAAAACCTCAAGATATGAGATACTCTCCGAAATCTCACGATTTTTTAATCAAAGTCTATTATACAACAAATGTTTCAAGAGCCAGATCTGTTCAAAATCTACAAGAGTAGATTATATTTCTCGATATAATATATTAGAACTCAAAGGTGAAAATGATTCGATTCGGTAACACTAGTAAACTATTTTGTTCTACTAGGAGCTTTTTACAATATTATATGTTGATACTCAAAAATGTGCGTTTACAAATAAAACCTTAACGTATAAAGCAAATCCAATGGTATAACTGGAAAGAGCAAATCAAGCTGAATTTAAAACAGACAAGAACTAATATGAATCATGTCTTCATGGAAAAATGAGTCAAGTACACCAAATATTGATTAAGAGCAATAATGGAGGGGAAAAGATAATAACAAAAAGATGCATACCGTTTTTGCGGCAATCGCTCTGGATCGACTTCACTTATCTTTCCATAAAGATACAATGCTACTAACGCCAGTCACGTATGAAAATTCTGCATTTTATCTGTATGTGTTGCTTTGACAGCAATATGTTGGGTGCGACCATTCCACCTCATTATTATACTTAACCAATATTTGATGTACTTAACTTATTTTCCAAGAAGTCATGATTCATATCAGCTTTTGTATGTTATAAGTACAACTTGATTTGCTCTTTCCAACTACAGGGTGCTTCAAAAGTCCACAGGACGAAAAATATGAATAACTCCACTTTGTTTCAATCGAATATGTTAATTATTTTTTTGACTGATAAGGATAATTTCAAAGTTCTTTTCATAAGAACAAAGTTTATAAATATTATTTTGAACTGTCACCTTTGACTAATATACACAAAAACATTTTACAATTCGATTTTTAACTTCGATATGACCATTCGATAGAGAAAATTGTTCTCTTTCGATCTGTGCAAGGCTGAGCTCGCTGGCTTGTTCCGTTAAGACGCTATAAGCATTTTCTCGACAGTCCCAAAAATCGACCAAATGACCTCTAACCACTCTCGAATGTGTCGAGATGGGAGTAATCGGTCACATTGAGTCGAGTGGTGATGTTTATTTGTAGTTTTAAAGCGATCTGAAGTGACTCAGCCGAGATTTTCAAAATTCCAGCGTTTATCGTAGAGCTGATATTTCAAAAATCTCGGTTGCGTCACTTCAGATCGCTTTAAAACTACAAATAAACATCACCACTCGACTCAATGTGACCGATTACTCCCATCTCGACACATTCGAGAGTGGTTAGAGGTCATTTGGTCGATTTTTGGGACTGTCGAGAAAATGATTTTGTGTATGTTAGTCAAAGGTGACAGTTCAAAATAATATTTATAAACTTTATTCTTATGAAAAGAACTTTGAAATTATCTGTATCATCCAAAAAAATAATTAACATATTCGATTGAAACAGAGTGGAGTTATTCATATTTTTCTTTCTGTGGACTTTTGGAGCACCCTGTAGTAAAAGAATGTTGCTCTGTCAATCTGAAGGAAAAAAATGAAGCCATAATTAGTAGTCGACTTATAACGTTATTTGATGCGTATCCTATCCAATTTCTCTTGCTTCTTTTTGTTTCTTTGATGTATTCTTATATTTTTTTTGTTCTATAGGAAAAAAATATTTAGTATCAACAAACTTGTGAAATACAAATTATTTTTTTATGGGGTGCGTCAGAGTAAATGAGCTTCCCAATATTTTGCGAATATCTCTCTCAAATTGTGACTTATATACTTGAATTTTTTTCAAAAGATAGCCCGTGGAATTCTCCACAAAATCTTATGAAAAGAGCTCTTCTAACGAATAGCTATGAAATTATATACAGTCAACACTATAATGCTCCAAAATGGTCAACTTTTAAAGTGGTTGTTTTCATATTAATGATTTTGCGCCGCTCTTTTAACCACATATGAAGAGATTGAATAAAGCATTTGTAGTTCATGAAAAGCTCTCTCAGTCGAATGAATACTTTTGTTAATACACCGTAAATTTACTCGAACCAAATATTTTCTTTGTTCCCCTCTACTTACGTTGTACGAATCTTCCGTAAGGTTTATCGTAGCTTTAATTTTGTTATGGTGAATAGAAAATTATTACATATTCAGATTCATTACCAAATTGAAGGAAAGTGTTTTATCTGTCATTTCGATATGAGCAGAATGTTGCAAAAATGTTTTTTTTTCTGCAATGCTTGAGATATATAATGAGAACGATCGATCGTTTCAACTCGTTTTTTAAGAAGATTGGCTGCTGGAACATCAGAATTGTATCCGAATATCTTCTTTTAAATTCCGTTAGAAAGAGTGCACCTGAAAGCATAGGAAACTTGCCTTAGACTAGGGTCTCCTGTCTGTTTTGTTGGAACAAATGAAATAATTAGTTTAATAAAAAGGCGTATTTGAAAGTTGATCATTGTGGAGCATTATAGTGTTGACTGTATATAATTCCATAGCTATTCGTTAGAAGAGCTCTTTTCATAAGATTTTGTAGAGAATTGCACGGGCTATCTTTTTAAAAAAGAGTCAAGTATATACGTCTCAACTTGAAAGAGATATTTGCAAAATACTGAGAGGTTCATTTATTCTGTCGCACCTGATATTAATCTCAGATATATTATAGAGAACAAGTGAAGAAAAAAAAGTTAATTAAAGTCAGTGTATTCTGGCATATCCTACTCGTCATGAAGGTGTCAAGAACAAGGACGTTTTTATTATTAAATATTGTCACTTGTCTTGTTTTCTTTTCTATGATGCATCAATAATGGTTTCCTTTTATAAAATCGGACTACATAAAACCAATATATAGTAAAACCTTTTTATTGTAAATACAATCGGAATCAAAGCTCCAAATTGGATAGAACTAGTGGCATAGTCAGGTGTACGACTAGGTTGAGCTGAATCCAACCACCGACCATTTAAAAAACCAGTGTTTTTTTAGAGTGATAAAATGAACAAATTGCATGATATTCACATTCCTTCTTTTATCGTCATTAGTCTACACTAAGTAGATCATTGGCTGGATATATAATTATTTATAGCTTGTTTTTCAGAATAGAGAGACGTCTATTGTGATAGTAAGGTTTGGTGAATTGTCATTTCATCAATGGTTTGTTTCCTTATGAATTTTCAAACCTAGATACACAAACAATTTCATGATTCTAAAGGGTGGTTCAAAATTTTTTACCCTCTCTGGATATTTACTTTACCTATACGAATACATATATAGATACTTAACTGAAATATACGACTTTGCAGAGAAGATTAAAGATATCATCTGAAAAAAGTTCGAATTGCATTGACGTCATGAAAATATTAATGATTGTTTTACTCATTATGACCTGCTTAAAATTTTACATCTTACATTTTTTTTGCAAAAACAATATGAAGCGAAATATTGTTTTCTAGATATTTTATATAGATTAATAGAGTTCGTTAAGCTCCACAAGAATATATATTCCGAATAAAATTTTGATGTTGTTCCTCATGTAAAATGTCGAGGAAACAAGAAAGATTAAGAAAAATTTCATATATCTTGCATACAGAGAGTATGCTGAACTTTTCATAACATTACAGTCCACGAAAATTGGAAGTATACCCTTTGTTTTTTTTTGTTTTTTATCTATTAGCTACTATATAAAGAAAGAAAGCCTAGAATACGCTGCATGGGTGGGTGTGGCTAGAGAGAAAGACTACACCCACATACCGCCCTCATCTATTGATTTATATATAAAAAATTCATGAGCACTAAGTGATTAAATAGGATTTAGGGACGCAAATAAGCGCATCGAGTTTGAAAGCTTTTAGAAAAAATTGTGTACTACTGTGCAAACTTTGGCCGATAAATATGGAGCTCAACTCTTGTAGACCAAAATCCTGCTTCTGCTACTAGTCATAGTGGTAATAGTATGAAACTACATTTAAATGACATTCTTCATGGTAATTATGCAGGAACATAACCTTCTCCTCCTTGGTGCACCTGCTATTATGCCAATGAATTCCAATGGAATTTTCACAGCTTTTGCTAACATTTTGAACTGTATTCTCGTTCTCAACCAATGTTCTTCGAGTAATATTTGAAGATTATTTACTGCTTAAGCACAAATTTCACAATATTAGAAATATGTTATTCAATGGAACTCTCTCTAAAAAGTAACAAACATGAATAAGATAAATGTATCGAACACTTTTTAAAGTATAAAATATATTTTTATTCATGTCTAGTTCAAAATTTCTTTACGTATTTTATCATTATTCTTAATAATTTTTATTGCTACATGTCCACTAATAAATATGAGATCGTCACATAATCGATTTAAATAATCATACATTTGTTTACCATTTGATACAGCTGACCAAGCACACATTCCTGCTGTTAATACTACACCAACAACAATTAAACCAACAGACAAACCACGAACAGTGTTTATTGCACCAACTCCAGCAGCTCTAAGACCATCGTCGGAAATTGAAACACCAGCAGTACCAATACCTGTTGCAGTCTTAGCAGCAATTGAAGACACATTTTTCACTTTATCTCTACTTGAAACATTGCTAGGTTTACACGTATTTTTTAAAGCTGATGTTTTAAAATTAGATTCATCAATTTCCATCTCGAATTCTTTTAAATAATCTTGAAATTCATCAGTTTCACCAGTCCACCATTTCCAAAGATATGAACAAGTATTAACACCAAACTTTTGTCGAATTCGTTCACGTGCAAAATATCTTGGTATTAAATCCAAAAATGGTATAATAGCAGCAAAACCTGCCAAAATTTTATATTTCATTACATTGAAAGCATAACCACGGCGAAAACAAATATTAATAACTCGAGATATTGCATATGTAGTTATCTGTTGTAGGCGATTTTCATGAAAACTTAATGGTAAATTTTCAATATCATTAATTAATTTTTCAAGATCAAATTGTACATAGGGAAGTATGGACGTAGTTTGATTACAAATATCATTTTCGTTTGAAATAAAAGTAAGATATATATTAGATAAGTGTTTTCCTTTATTGTCTAAGATGCCAAGTTCTCGAACTCGTCGCATTATTTTTTCTACATATTTTCTTTTTGTTATTTCATCAGAGGAATAAAAATCTTGACCAACATCTTGTTTAAATGTTCTGATAAATAATTCATCGACTTTATTTCGTACAATCCAACACGTACGATTCATATCGTTTACAATATATTCTTGCCATTGACGATGAACATCTGTATAACTGTGATCAAAAACAATGATATACAAATCACAATCTGCTTTTCTAATTTGATCAAAATAATTTCCTGATTTTACACATAAATCACTATCGTTGGATCCTTCAATATCAACAAAGATGACTTTTTTATCGTTGTTATATAGATGTTCAAATTCCAATTGACAATATGTACTTTTATAAACACCGATGGGTGATGAAAGTATTATGTCGGGAAGTTCTTTTGATTGAAAATTCGTTGTATAATCATCTCGAATTCTTCTTATTGCAAGTGCCAATGAAGTTTTTCCTGCGCTTGTTTCACCAATCAAACCTATTCTACATGGTATACTTGGTATAATATTTCGACCGAGATCACCTTCAAGTGATTTGAAAACATCAATAACTTTCGGTTGAAATTGCTCGCTTGTAAACAATGAATCTTCCCATTGATTTATTTCTTTATTCAATGACGGAAAAGTTTTTCTGAATTCTGCTTGTTGAATTTGATACAATAGTTGTTCACATATTTCAATAAAACTTTCACATTGTCGAGATTGATCACGATTACCATTTAATTCATTCAAATAGATCATAAAGTAACGATTCATCTCATCATCATTATTTGTTGAAATCAATTTATCTACATTGCGTTTAATATGTTTCAAGTTTTTGATAAATGTACTTGCACGTACTATGAGATATTGAACAACTTCAGGAATAGAATCAGCATCATTTATCTTTGCAGTTAATGTTTGTACTAATGATTGAACATGAATTACTCTACTAGATATATCATTTGAAAGCGCTCCTGGCATAATATTTGTTGCTGATAATAAATCGGCACCGTATTGAACAGAATATTTTTGCCATAATAAATCTATCAAGAGTTCATTCTCTTTTGCACCATCCACGAATGAATTTTGACAATAGAAACAATAGAATTGTCCATTAGTCGTGCTGTTACATGTTTTTATTGATTGTACACATTTACTACAATATTGATAATTACAATCTTCTATCGGACATTCACATGGTAATTGATCAGGTGTAATACCAAATGGACTAATGCATACACAACAAGTATCCCATATCTTAAAAATTTAAGGAAAAATAGTATAATAGTTAGAACGCGCAGACTTAAGAACACAATCTGTCATGATTTATTTAAAATAGGGGTTTCGGTAATGGTGAGGGTCAATGTAATAAAACATTTCTAATTTATTCAAAAAAAATATTCTTGAAGAAAGTCATATCAACTTAGCGCAGATGATAGGAAGAAATCAACCAATAGTTTTATTTTGTTGAGTCTACATGCATGATTAACACAGAAGTTGTGTCTATGTGATCATGCCAGATGTTTGTTGCTTTTCATCTGTGTTCACTTTGTATCTTGTATTAGTTAATGTGATGAAATCTTAAAAACATCTGATCTCGATTTCTGAAAATTTCGAGTTCGACCAAAAAAAGTGTATAAACGGTTTTAAGCACGTAACGACGAGTCAGTCGCTCAATCGTCGAAATTACATATTGACGACATTGTTCTTCTCTAAGTCACATGAGTTAAAAATCAAGTCTATTGATAGTTACTTCTATAAAGATTTCAACTACTAACGAGGGAAGGCAAAGGATCGATAAATAGCTTTTGAGTCGAGACTATTTGCATCATGTAATTCTTAATGAGCTATGAATAACCTGAAAAGAGTTCTTGCTAATAGCTGATTGGTACCAAGCTATATTGCATTTTTGTGGTATTTTTTTCAACAGAATGCCGTGTTCTCTGTCAGAAATTCTAGGAAAACTAATATCCGAATTTCGAGTTGAAACTTTACACAGAGACAGGCTTTAACGAGAGTAGTTGATTGTGGAAGTTTCAAATCTTTTGATTTGCTCCTATCCTGAAATACGAACATCGAATGTGCCCATATAAATGAGCGATGCAAAAATACCAGCTTTTACCTTAGGCATATCTTAGGATAAAAACAATGGAAAGATCTGAAACTTTCACAATCAACTACTCTTGTTAAGGCCTGTTTCTGTGCAAAGTTTCAACTCGAAATTCGAAAATTAGTTTTCCTAGTATTCCTGACAGAGAACACGGCATTCTGTTAAAAAAATACCGCACAAATGCAATATATCTCGGTACCAATAAGCTATTAGCACGAACTCTTTTCAGAACTTGTTATCTAAGAATATGTTGCTCGCTCCTTTCTACTTGAATATCACGCTACCATTTTGTGTCCAAACAAAACAAAAATCATACCCGTTTAACATACAATTGAAACCATTGCCCATTATTCTTGGGAATTACATTTATATCTGTAAGTAATTCTTCTTTACCAGTTGCTTCGTTTTTATATACTAATATGAATGGAACATATGTTTCTTTCACATTTTTTTGAACCAAATATTTTCTGTACTTGTTCAAGATTTGTGTGTTTAATTTTTCGATTGATTGATAATTATCAATCAATTTTTCTTTGTGTCCCAAACAAATAGCTTGGATTCGATGCATATTTGACTAATTAAATAAAATCAAAAATCATCTTTACTAATTATTTACTGAAACAATATTTGTGACAATGAATAAAAGCATACCTTTTATTATTTTAGAATGAATATAATGAGTTTAAGCTAACGTTCTGATGTTGAGAATGACTATATTCTTCAATGATTGCTGACGCACTCAATTGTGGAGTATTTATTGTTTTGGGTTTTTTCCTTGCACGTTTTCTTTCATCCTTTCAATATTGATGCATTGAGTAGTAAAACACAGCACTAGACGACAAAGAGTGACGGCGATAAAATAAAAATGACGTCAAAAGAAATTGAAAAAATACTTTTTTTTTCTGCTTTTCTTTATTCTCTTATTGGTTTTTTTCTCTTCACATATCCTTTCAATGCTTCAGATTCTCAAAATACTAAACTTAGTGGATGTATTTTTATCGGTTACTTCTATTGTTATGTCTTACTCGACTATAAAATTCATATTTCAAGCATCATGAGTGTGGGTCTTGGTGTCTGGTTGGAATTACAATGCGATATCGACATCCACACTCCGAAGCGGGATGTATGCAGGTTTGTAGAGAAAGACTTTCTCTATCTAATATTGTTAGTACTATCAAATTATCTCGCATACCAAAATTTTTGATAGATGTCGCCACATTCGTTGTATATTCTTTAATAGGCTCTTCGAATCTGGTGTCATCTATCGAAATTTTTGGTGTGCAGCAGAATTTGATAATACACACACCATCTTCTCCTACAAACCTGCATGTATCCCCTTCTGAAGTCAAACCCTTATAGTCTCCTTTCAGCACGATTGAACAAAATTAGATGCGAGTCGTAGACAAACAGAATATGGCCTTACGAGATACCAGCATTTTCTAGCAAAACCCGCTTCAAATTTTTTTTCTCGTACATGTGTCACATTGTTTTCGGTACTCTATCTATGGGATTTTTTATCTTGATGTTCCAGAGATAGTGCAATCGAATTCCTCTCTCTTTATATTGTAGAAATTTGCACTAGACTTTTCTTCAACTACAGGATGTTGATGAATTTCGACTATGGCTTTTGAATCAATCTCTTTCTGATTTTAACAATTCGCGTAACTATCCGTTGAGTCTGAACTAACATACGGGGTGGAGATGCTGGTGTCAGTGAGGATGAATGGTAGACTCATATCTACCCACATCTTATGGTTCTGTTTTTATCTTTCAAATTCTATTTATCAGTAGTTTAAAACCTAAAATTGATTTTCGTATAACCCTCTTTTATTTTAATCATTTTCTCTCAAAATCATTCTTTAGATGCAAGCAGCTGAGCATGCCAGCACAACCATTAGTTCAAATGTTTCTTGACTGCTCACGGACATTTATATGGCGAACTTTTTAATATAACTTATATATTTTTGTATCGTCGACCTTTGCTCTTTCTTCTTCGAGATCCGTCTATCCACCACCTTACGATGATATATCGGTTAATTCTCTCGCTGGCATCGCTGCCTAATTTTCATGATGAGAAAATGCTTGTATCTCGTCTTAGTCTAAAAGTGTTTGCCCTTGGTGAAAACAATCATTCATTGGAATATCTAACAGTGAAGATGAAAAGATAGGTTAAAACATTTCTGAAATTAGAAAATTTTGAATTGAAAAAAATACTATATATTGTGCTGATTTACTTCAGCATTTGCGAACTTTCACTAAATACAAAGCTGTCTGCTTTCTCTTATTCGAAGAAAAACAAGAGATTGTTGTCTACAAAACTGAGATTTCCTTCTAAGTCAATCTCGTCAAGTTGATGGATATCAGACTTTCTTTATATCAACACTGTGAATTTATTTTTCATTTGATCCTACTGATCAAGAATCTGGTGATCGATGCATCATCTACAACAAGTAGTCTTTTACAAGATTCATGAGAAAATGAGGTAATTGAAAGGCTTCAACAATATATATTTAGCTTGATCAAACGAAAGTTCGAATTTCTGTACTATGGTGATTATTTCTAGACTCAATTTTAGTCACAGACAAGTACATGACGAGTAAGGTCAATTTGGCACCGATTGAAAGACTATTAGATTTGTCAATCTTTTCCCGTTCACCATCGTCTAACAACAATACATGACAAGAAGCGGTGATTAATACGAGACTGTTCGGCTCTTATCTTTTCATAGCTTTGTCCCTGCACAATCAGATCAATAACCCATTTCGAAAACATATCAAACAAAATTTTGTTAGACATTTTCGATTTTCGTGATGGCTATCATTTACTTGAGGTTTCCTCTAATCTTAATATTCGTTTCGAACATTTTTCAATGGTTCCTATTTTTCTCTCATTAATTAGTTTTTCGTCTGCCTGTTTTGAAATTTACCAAACTTTCATTTGAAGAACTTGGAGATGTACTCTCGTTTTCATTAGCTACAAGTGAACACCTTGTCGTGAATAGTCTATGTAGGCCAGCAAGCATCTACAATCTTTTGTCGTATACACCTCGGGAGTGTGGATATTTGTTATATCATCTTACTGACACCCACATCCACACCCCACACTCACACCCACCCTCACATGAAAAGTCAAAATGTTGTTGTCGATTTTTCGTTTCAATTTTCATGTGTTACTATTCCGATACTCACGGGCAATTATACTATTGACATTCACTCATTCATCGATAATCTCAGTTGCATTATTCCTTTGGCACAGATCACTTAATTAACACTCATGCAACGATCAGTGCTCGAATACTTCTGTCAAACTTCTTGGTCAAATGCCTAATATTCACACATTGGTTCAGGATGCAATTTCACTGTTTGCAACGCATTTCTTATCAAAAAAATCAAATGAACATTGTCGATTTGATGTATGACAATAATGTGATCAATATAATAATAATCCATGCACTTACATTTGACACTGCTCAACTGTTAATCAAACTTTTTCCTCGAATATAAATGTCTCGACCTTAGAAAAACAAAGGAAAATCTCGTGTCAATCGTACAAATTCTACTATTGAAAAACATTGATAACAGTTATCTTTTCTCATTGATAGTTGATGATAACGATGAGACAATCGAACAATTCAATATAACGATCGATTGCCAAAAACTGCTTGACAACGATAAAATCGAACGCGGTGGGTGTGGATGTGTAGGTGAGGGTGTGGATGTGGATGTGGATGTGTGGGTGTGGATGTGTAGGTGCGGGTGAGGGTGTAGATGTGGGTGTGGATGTTTAGGCGTGGGTGAGGGTGTGGGTGTGGGTGTTAGCCTCCTCTTCATGATCACCCACAGTCACACCCCCAGTCACAGCTACAACCACGCCTACACCCACAGTCACAGGCATACCAACATCTACACCCACACCCATATGCGAACTCGAATTAGGCATCTCATGAGTTTATCGATTCATTACTCTCCTTGGGAGCGATGAGCATTATAAAAAGACTTGCTATACTACTTACGGCAACATTTAACTGCCTTATTCATTGTAATTTACTGTCGAAATATACATTTGTTCAGGTATGATATAGCGCTATTCATAATATATTACGTACTTCATCAGCTTTTTTGAGAAAAACACTGAATATCTAAATATTATCTTAATATAAAGAAACTGTAGTCAGAGCAACGCATTAAAAAACAGTAATTCACATGCATCCATTGCAAAGGAAACAATGTCACTCTGTTTTACTATATATATTTTATAAAAACATGCTCAGACGTAAAAATGAAGACAATCGTATACAGACCACAGTTCTACAGAAGGTATGGTGCGCGAATGTAGTTCTAGGTGTGGATTAAGAGGAGACTTACGTTCTTGCTCACACAATACACCCACTCCACATACAATTTTTGTATTTCTTTGTAAAATTAAATATACCACAAGTTTTGGAAAGCTATATCTACAAAGTAGCATATGAAAGGCGCCGAAAAGGTATTGTCTTCAATTTTCTTTAATGCAACATGATACATTTCCAAAAATAAATATAATATTGAATTCAGAAACAGTGAGTGAAAGGGGCTTGCCAACTTTGACAATACTAGATTCAGCATTATAGGAAATCGCCGTTCTTGATAAACAAGTTATCCGTGAGAAAGGCTCCGAATCTAAATGGGACACACCTAACGTTAATCGCTTAATCGCTCAACTTACATGAAATGTTAAACAAAACAATTAAACTCGACGTTAGTTAAGAACGGTTTGCCAACACACAACATTAAGCAATTAGGTGTCAGCCTTGATCTAATTACTTCTAAATATTAACGCATAACTCAAATTACTTAAAGGATGTGGGGGTGTGGGTGAGAATACACTTTATTACGCCATGTTGAACATTGTGGAATCAGTTCCGCCGACGGAATCGATCCCATCGATTCCGGAATTTCGGCAACTCAGTGCAGTCGCTATTTCAAGGAATTTCGTGCAATTCCGGGATCGGAACTTCGTAGATTGACTCGACACCTCTCACC